CGGCCGTTAGGAAAGCGCGGGAAACAGCGCTGCCGCCGCTGCCTGCCCTCGACGCCTCAGCTGCCTCCCAGGCCCGCACCGCAGCCGGGGCCTGGCGGAGGGGAAGGCGTCGAGCCTGAGCGACGCCGGGCAGCGGGTGGGTACACGCAAGGGGCCGCTGCACTGGTGCCCGGGCCTGAACTGCTTGCGGTAGGGGTTAAGGTGGTGCGTGGCAGGAGGTTACTGCACGCACCAGGCTGACCGGTGTGCCAAGGCAGCAAGAGGCCTGGCAGGCCTGCTGGTTTTGGGATCCCTTCCCCTCTCGGGAGCGCAAGGTGTCCTTCTGCCCACCTTGGTCTTTCAGACCCTCGCCGTGCCCCGGAGGAATGGGCTGGAGCGTTTCATGTAATGCAGGTGCCCACACCCATGGGGCTTGTTTTATAATTTGGGGGTATCAACGCTGCCTCTGCCCCTCTCAGTGAAGTTTTGCTGCAATGTCAGTCAGAAAGACGTGTCTCTTCGCACCCCCTCCACGTTATCTGTGAGGTGAGCGGTGAAAGCTGTGGCCGTCCGTTCTGCACATGCACACACAGTGTACTCTTTGCATATCAAAAAACACTTAATGAATTTGAAAGCTGGGACAACCTTTTGTCATGTAAAATTAGCTTTGACATATTTCAGAGAACTTGGGGAGAAGGTGCAACTCAGCATTGTTTCTAGAAAGATGAATAAAGGAGTCTCCCCTTATCACCTGCTTCTCTTTCATTCAGAAGTCTGTGTCATAAGAAGAGTACCACCAATTTCATTTCCAGATAGTTTTTAACCTAAACAATTTTCAAGCATTCTATATTACAAAACAGAAGATGATACAATTAATGGAAGAAGTCAAAATGCTGGCATCACTTTGTTTCCACATTAATACATAAAAATGGACAACACATTAAATAAACATTTTGTTATTGACAATTAGAAATATTAACACCAAAAATCATGTATAAATTAGGAAATAAATGTACAAACTATTTTCCAAAGTGCTCTTTCAAATACATTATATACACAACATTCAAGAAATTCTTAATGTAAGACATTTCAGATTGATGTAATGTTGCTGTTCCATTTTAAGTGTTGTTCATGTTCTCTCAAAAGTATTATTTCAGCACTTTCAAAAACCACATAAAAGATGTATTTCCAAGCTGGCAAAGAGCAATATTGCATTCTCCTGGCTACTTGTACTATTAATATATTGTAAAGAAAATGATCATTTTTCCTTTCTATCCCTTGATATTTGAGAGTACTTATTTGTATGAAAACACCAGCAGGAAAGGTGAAAGAAATGAGGACTGAATAAAAAACATGTTTTCTGTTTTATCAGCAATTAAAAGCACTAATGTAGCAAGGGCAGTGCTTGGACAACATTTAACAGTAAACTGTTTGGGTGTCCCATATAAAGACTTTTCCTTTACAGGAAAGAAAGCAATGAAGTGTGAGATGTTTCATTTTCCTTGTGGTCTTAGTTTTTTCCAAATACAAAGTACTAGAACTCAGAATCCAATAAATACACCAGTTCTGACAAAGACAAGGAGAAAACCCTACAGAGGATATATTTACTTTATAGTCTAAGTTTCAATTTAATCTTGCATTAAAAAATGCTCACGGAGTATAGTCATCTTAGCCTTTTGCCACAGAGAAGTTTGGCCATGGTGTTTCATTTATCAGTTATATAAGCACTTTGTGAGTGTTGTATTCAACACTTTATAAGAATGTATACAACTGAATAAAAGTGACTTTTCTTACTCATATTGGCTTCTATGTACCACTATTTCTTATTTCTTAATTTTCCCTCTATAGGTTTTCTCTTAGTGGTTGGCCCTATTAACAATCCCCCTTCCTCTGTGCATAATATTGTTTCAGAATTAAAGCTGAATTTAGTTGTTTGTCTGCAATAAAGATGGATTTTTTTTCTTTCATTTCTGAACTACTTCTGTTGAGCTACAAGAGAAAAATAACAATGATGAGGAGTTATAGGAACAGTTAACCAAAAAAACTGATAATATTCATGTGTATAATGCTTGCTGGAAAATCTGAATAAGGGCAATAGAAGAATCAGAAATAAAGAAGGATGCCAGCTACCAACCTGGGAAATCTGGCATGAAAGTGTATATGCAACTTGTAAAATTTTGAGTAGCATATTTAAGACGGAGTTTTGCCAGATGTTTTTCTTAACTTAGCACAATACAAAGCAATATTGACATTTAGTAGGCTGACAATCCGGATCTCCGACTCCCTTCTATTTTTCTTTCCATGATAGAAATACCTTAGTTTACATGGATATATAAACGTGCCTCTAGTGATTACTGTTTTCTTGAATGCAGGTTTTGATCATCTTTCTGCATCTTTTACAACAGAAACAGGGACCTATACAGATATATTAAATTAGAAGACTTGGGTAGTGAGCCCTAGTAGGTATTGCAGACATTGCAGTTAATTTTCTTTTTATCTTATAGCATGGAACTGACTTCTCATAAGGAATGTACCCCTCTCCTCACTCTAAAGGAGTAGAGTTAAGAGCCATGGATTTCAGCGGCTGGCAGGTAAACTTCAATGCATCCACTTAAACAGCGATCAATAACCTACCCTAGGATACTTCCCTGGACTGAGACAGAACTAAATGGCTTTGTATTTAGCCAGACTGCAGAACAATCTGGCTGTTTTCCAGAAATGGGCACAACTGTGATCAAATGATCCTAAAGTTATTTAGAAACATCAAGAATGGCGGGGGGGGGGGAATGAAAAAATTCTGCATTGTATCAACATACAGTACTATACACAGCACCAAATATCAAACCATTAAAGCATTGTCTTGTTACCAGTAGTGCACTGCTTCATATCCAGCATGAAATGAACACTGTTCACATACAGACGCTGCTTTGTGCTAAGGGGTAACCAACATATTACAATTAATCAAAACTGCCTGTACATCCAGTTCAAAAGACGGATATGCGATTGAAATGAATCTGACACAGGATCGTGTTCTTTTATTGCTGGTAATTTCCATATTGTCCCTATAAAAAAACAGAAACACTTGTGTTGGAGAGTAACATATCTGAGGTATACATGCAGTAAGTTAGACAATTTTCCTTTGTTTTTTGACTTTGTTTTTTGACTTTTGAAAGACTCAGCAAAGTATCACCAATACGCCTGCATAAAATTGTCAAATAGATTTATGGGCAGAGCTAATTTATATCAGAGATTCGGACAATTTACCTGCTCATAGCCATAAGGCCTCTGTTGCTGGGCAGATGGTCCTGTCTGGGAAGCTCTGTAACTTCCATATTGCTGCCCCTGTCCCTGTTGGTAACTGGAATACTGTGAAGAGGCTCCTTGGGCAGGACCTGAGAAGAGGATGAAATCAGTACAGCTTAACTTGCCAGGGCGAGTACTTACGGTTGACAAAGTGTAAAAACATGATGGTAATAAAGTCGGCTCTGTAAGTATGAACTGTGAGTAAACTTTGCCTAGACCTTTCCGAGTTGCCAGGCATTCAGTTTCTACATTCCTCTGGGAAATCCCACATTGCTCAGGTCTTCCAAAATGTTAACCTGAATCTTGAGATTTGTGAAGCAGCAATAAGCTCCCAGCCACAGATTCTACCTGCAAAAACAGAACTGGAGCAGAGTAAGTACTGCAGCTGTCTGGAGTGTCAAACATTACGGACCTGGTAAAAATTAGCAAATTAGCTCTAAGTTTGCATCATGTCTACAGCAGTACCCACTACTGTGATTGCAGCATACTGCAGACAAAGCCAAGCTAGCTTTAAACTAGAAAATGTTAGTACCAATAATGATCTAGATGCAGCAGCGTATAATTCTGTTCGTGTTTTAAACTCTGCTCGGAACCGCTCGCTACACTACTCAGTGATTAGCCTTCCTGAAGTCTGTATTAGCACAGCTCAATTATTACCAATATGCAAGCTACCTGGCCTTCAATTTTAGTAGAAATAGCATGATTAACTTCCTGTTTCACCTGGTTGCGCCACCATAAGCACTGCTGATCAGCTAGACACTTCAAAAACCTCTTGCATGTAAAGATAATTTAGCATCACATGTAAATCACACAACTGCATGTGGATGTTTATTTCTTTTGCGGGGGGACTGTAGATTCAGTGTACAGACTGTTACATGGCATTTATTCTTTAGCATTGGTGGATTTTTATGCAGGAGAACCTCTAGAGTGAGCAGGCCAGATTTGAACATTATAAACTGAATGCTGGATGTAATTTCACAGAGCATGTCTGGTTTGAGTAATCCAAAACATCTACTAGTACTGCGGCCAGATCACCGTAATTTAGTTAACTTTTAAAACGTGTAGGTTCAATTTCATGAGATCTCATATTTTTAAAACAGACTTGCTGTCTATGTCAACCTCAGTTTATCAATTTTTGTTAACATTGTCCATCCAAGGTCAAGTATCACATCTGGGAGATGCACTAGAAATCCCCTTCCTTGAAGCTAGTATTTAGATTATCCCCAGTCTCTCAAGGCCCTGTTTTTGTGCTGCGTAATTTGAAATGGTCTCTTTCCCCAAAGACAGAATGCATCCAAGGTGCCTCCAATCAGTAAGAGAATTCAAGCATAGACATCAAACATGGATGCTTTTGATGGCAGGGGAGAGCACTGCCACTGGTGATCTGAATCGTTGCAAATCCCTCTGGTAGTGTTAGCTGCGTGTTCAAAGCACTTTCACTTTTTTCCTTTAGCCTCAGTTCCTCACCAAGTGATAATAAAGCACGTACGGCGTGGCAAGAAATCCAAATGAGGGAGTGGTAATTCTCTCTAATTATAAGATGTTATTTTTTTCATGTCAGTTGGCTAGGTATTAGATGTG